GAAAAACTAAAGAAATAAAGGACTAACCAAATAAGTGACTAAATGAAGACAAAATTAAGTATACAAGACTAAGTATAAGAAAATTTATTAAGCCTCATATTTATATATTTTTATCGATCTTAATATTAGTATTTATATATAGATAAATACAATCTCTTAAATACATAGTTTTAAAAATAACTCAAATATATCATTTTTTTTGTTATTTTTTTTTTATTTGCTTTGCATATATATTAAAACAGATATGAGTTATGAGATAATCTCTAAATACAACTCTCAAAAATAAACAGTTTTTTTTGTTTTTGTATATATTAAGCTAATCCAAAATATACAAATTTAGAATCTGTTATAATAATTTTTTATTTTACTTTTTGTTTAAAGTAGAAATGCAGACTAAAAATATATTAAAAATAGAGATCATCTAAAGCAAAAAGAAATTACATAATATAAGTTACAATTAGTAAAAAAATAAAAATGATGATTGAACAGAAAAAAATAATTTTTTAATAATAATATATAATGAATTAATAAATTTAGGAAATTGCTATTTGTACTATAATTTTTGCTATTTATATCATTAATTTAACTAGAACTAACACTAACTCTGGTTAAACTAATGGTGCAAATAGCAAAAACCATAATACAAATAGCAATACTTTAAATTATAGCTATATACTATATGTAGTTAGGGTTAAAAATTATAGCAAATCTAAAACTATTTAATAATTAAGGTATATTAAATTTAAATTAAAGTTAGAGTCAGAGTTAAGCTAGGATAAAATTGTGTAATAAATATTTTTACTTATATAATAGTATCATAAAATAACTAGCTAAAAATAAAAATTTTATAAAGGTAGGCTGGCTATCTAATACAGCTAAAGGTGTTAAATAAAAGCTTTGGTCATATCTATATGAAAGTTAATAACAAAAGAAGCTAAAATATATTAACAATAATACACAATACTAACTAATAGATGAGAGTTTAAGTTAGAAGTTAAGGTAAATTGAGGTTTTTTTTTAATAAAATAATACAAAGCCTATAGTTAGAAATACTGCTTTTTATTTAAAAAATTTTATGATATTTGGCTAATTTTTAACAATATAGGTCATTAAAGCAGTATTACAAAATACAGTTCTAACAACACCATATAAAAAAATACAAACAGATTAGTTAATAGAACTATATCAGAAAAAAACATTAAGTTTTAGGATTACAAACTAACAATAGTAGCAAAGCTTGGCTTAAGATATAGATTAATAATATCTGAGCAGATAAATAAAAGAATTGGGTATTTATAAAATGTAGGAGTTGTATGAAGAAATGTTACTCAACAGGAGTTGATATAATATAATCAACTTTGGGAGAAGTATTATAGAAATAGTATAAAGCAAACTTAAGATAAGTTCTTAGTCTAACAATGCAATATCAAGTTGGTTATATAATAAACCTAACTAGACAGCAAGTTTCTGACTAAAGATACAAAGCTGTAGAAAAGTTATCTGCACTAATTACAATTATACAAATAAAATACTTTAATAAAAAATTGCAATAGATTATACTTGCAAATATATTAACTTGAAAGCTTATTAGGAGTAGATATCTAATATACTAAATTAAAAGTTATAACTGTGAATAGTAAACCATAGAGGAATATAGTAGTTATCAGAAATAGCTTGTTAGAAAATGTAAAAACTAAGTGATATATATGTAAGATATAAACTGCTTTAATAGATTTAGATTATAGATAAATTAGTTTAAGTCTCTGTTGTTTATAAATTAATATATATAAAATCATTTAATTTATAAAGTTTATATTTATAAAAACTAGAGATATAACCTTTCTTTAATATAAAAAAGTTTATAATAGTTGAAGCTTTATTTAGATATGAAAAAATATTAGTAAGTGTTTTATATTTTGAAATCCTAAAATTAAGGGTAAGGTGAAATGATCTATATTTCAATAGTGATTATATTACTAAAATTTTTACAATAACATTTAATTAAAATCAGATGATGATTATATATTATTTATATTGTATAACTTAGTCAAATTTTAATTAAGTTAAGAAGAATTTTTAATGATATATTTAAGTATATTTTTTTAAATATAACAAAGATTCAAATTCTATTATTAGAATTGGATAAGTTTAATGTATATACTGTAAAAATTTTACAAAAAAAATTAGATTTTTAAAAACTTTTATATGTAACATATATTTAATTTTGGTGTAAAATTTTTTAGTTGATATCCTTATATAGAAAATGATTTATATTCACCCTATCCTTAATACTTAGATCTAAAGTTTTAGTATTATTTAAGAATGTAATAAAAAATTTATATTTAATTTTTTTAAGTAATAAACAGGTTCTATTTTATTTATTTGTAATTTATATTTAGGATAGTTTAATTATGTATTGTAAGATATATATTATAATTTTATATTTGATGTTTAATAAAAAATTTTATTATGATTTATATAATAATAAATATAGGTTTTATAATTTAGCATATATGCATTGTAATGCACTCCTAATCAACCAATCAGATCATAAGATTAGATGTAATATGAAATCAAAAAAAATAGTGATATTTTGAAAAAATTCTCTGTAACTCATACTTTTGTGCTCTAGCAAAAAAAATTTCTTGTAAAATTTTGAGTATAATTAACATTTACCTATAATCTAATCTAATTTTATATTAGTGCTAACCTATATACTAAATTAATACATTGCTGGTTTGTTTTGATTTCATATTACACTAGATTTTATGGGATGCGTCACAACACATATGTGCTAAATTATAAAATTTATAGATATATATTACATATAATTTTTCTGTTTAAATTTAAATTAATTTTATTAAATCATTTAGTTTATTTTTATATTGAGTTGTTATATACATATTATTTGAATTTAAGATTTTTAGTTTGAAATTAATAAGTAATATTATTAGACAAAATTTGTAAATAACAATAATTTAGCAAATAAATACATACTGCTTTGTAGCATAAATAGCCAATTATTTGCTAAATTACTTACTATATTTGCAAATTTGCCTAATAATTGTATTATAATTGTAATTAGTAAAAAGTAATTAACTGAGTTTTAATTTGAATAAACACAATTATATTGTATTATATAAAAAATATATGCAAAAATTTATTTATAATTATAAGAGTTTGCTAAATAATACTGTATTATTAATAATAAATAAAAATTTTAATTAATTAGATAGCCCACAATCTGCAAAATAACTAATTATAATACAATATTCAATTTATGTGATCAACCAATTATAAGAAAGTTATCTTATAGCATTAATCTTATAAATTCTACAATTTTAATTTTTATAATACAAATCAATAATTGTGGCAGATTAAAATAAAATCAGATTAAAATGAAATGAGGGATAATGAAAAATAGACAAGCCACCAAAAAATACAAATTTTTGGTATGCATTTTTTTAGCATTTTTTTAGGGTTAGGATTAGGGTTTAGAAGCAGGTTTTATAATAAATAACTATAAATAGGTTTTAGAGGGTCAAATAGAAACCCCTCATTTCATTTTAATCTGATTTCATTATGATTTGCGACAATAATTACAGACTACTATAAAAGTTATGTAAATATGTATATATAGTATATATAATTTGAATCTATTATATCAAAACAATAACTTAACAAGAATGGTTAAAAAAATTATTTGGCAGATTGTTTATCAGATGTTTCAGAAATTATAAAAACAGCTGTATTTGCAAAATTTTATATAAAACTGCAAGCTAGGTCAGGTCAGATATGGTTTTAAATAAACCTAGCCTAGTTTATTTTATAAGTATTTTTATTTTAGACCAGGCTCAGATTTACAAATAATTTTAGCTATGTTTTAGGTTTAAGTAGGCCTGTTCTGATCTGTCCTGTCCTGCATTATATCTATCTGTAAGGCTGTTAAAAGTCCTGTTCGGTTTGACTTTGCTTCAAAGCTGAACTACTCAATTAAAAGTTGATCCCAAGTTTGACTCATATATAAAATATAATTTGAAATTAATATGATTAAGACTAGTTTTTAACTATTCCTATTAGTATTAAAACAATTACTGAAGACAAACATGAATTCTGATCTAAAATTAATGAAATTGGAACTAGTTTTTAACTAATCAGAACAATTATTGAAAACAAATATATATATATGTATACGATTAAAAGTGTTATTTATATGATTATTAGAGTTTTGCTTATAAGTCAAATCAATGTATTCATACTAAATCGACTTAAAGGATTGACTCTAATGAGCTTTTTAACAGCCCTATATATCTGTAACATATATAGCTAATAAATGCAGAGAATATATTATATTTTGGCCAGCTTTGAAAATACAATAATTTTTTCTAGATTATAGATTTGCATTTCCTATTTAATGAATTCTTATAAACTTCAATAATATATTTATAGTCAGAATGGAACATTTTATTTGTGCAAAAAAGTTTGTATACACATCTGAGAGATCAGTATGAACAATTGTTTAGCTGACTATATTTTGTTTTGCATTGGTCTCTTGGAAGACGGCAACATTTTTGCAAGAAATTTTATTTTTCTAAATAAGAATTATAGAAATTACATAATTAAAATAAGACACTTGATTAAACTATAAGTGAAGTGAGCCTAATTATTATATAGTAAACAAAATACCTCTGTATGACTCCTGCTTTCTTCTTTAGCATTATGTTCATCAAATTTTTGTAATTTATCTGTAAAGAAATTAAACACAGAGAGGCCTTTGATGGTTTTAGTTTGTATTATCAATGAGATAAGAAGATATTTGTGATTATTGTAATAACATTTGCGGTTTTCATACTGACCTTTTTAATTCTTTGGGTGGTAGCGTTGTTTACATACTTTCTTAGATTTGTCTACAAAATGAAATATAAGTAAACAACTGCTATTTTCTATGAATTATAATATATATATACCTCTTTCTAGTTTCTTTTCTTTTGTAAAACAGAAGTAAGGATTCCATGTTCAATAGTTCCAATTCTTACTTCCCGAAATAGTTGAATTGTTAATGTTAATTGAAGAGCATTTGTTTTACTTGACTTATGCTCTTTATCCCAGTCTTTAGCAATTTTCTGATCATCACCCTAGTACAAAAGATTAGAAATTAAAAATATGCTCAACTACAATTTATTATCTATCTTTTAATTTTTCATCATACTGAATCAGCCAGTAGTCTTGAATATCAGACAACTCAGTAAGCCACCTGTGCTTCAGTTTAATCAGTACTGGATCAGCTAGTAGCCTTGAACAACAGACAATCCAGTAAGCCACCTGTGCTTCAGTACTGATTTTGTGACTC